TATTTTCACAGAACCAAACAATTGTTACAGATGGTTTGTCATGACCTCGGGGCATTATTTCAGTAGCTTTAACCCATGTGATGGACTAACTGCAATTCAAACCAGAAACTTTTCCATTAAGAGCCACTCTACATGTACCAGCTGAGCCATACATGTATGTGGCTGCCTGAAATGCAACTTGTGAAAAGTCTAAATCTGACCGACCCTATTACAAACCTTGACATGATAAAATCTTTTCTTCTTGTGATATTGATGGTTTGTTGCGCAAAGCAGAAAGCTCTCCCGGTGGACTTGCATGTTTCCACCGTGATGAAGGAGTTTTATTAGGCCTGCCCCACTGCCCTTGTCTTATCACCCGGTATCCGATTTCATTCCTTTGAGTCATTCGAGTGTTAACTTTTCTTGTATGGCAGTTTCTGGATGGTGTGTGGTCTTTCTCGTTGAATGAGCTGTTGAACCAGGAGCTACCTTTCTTTGCCTTGTCAAAAGGATTATTCACTTTTCTTGGAATTGTATATGAATTGTCTTTGGCTTGGAAGTCCTATTACAAAAAAAAAATGAAGAAGACAAGGATCAATTCTGGGAAACTGCCCACCTACCCCTCCCCTAAGATAACATTACCACATCTCACTTAGGGGCAAAATGTTGGCTTAGGGGAGGGGTAGGTGGGCAGTTTCTCATAAACCTAAATTGATCCACAATATCCACGTCAAAATTTGATTAAGACAGCAAAAAAATGCTTTGCACAGTAGGAAGACAACACTTACTGTATACAAAAAACATGTACAATCATGTAAGAAATGATTTTGCCTGCAAAACCAGATTTAACTCTTTGTGCTTCAAGTAAGTTCAAATTATCAATCTACAACCTTATAACCAACCTACATGTACAACTGTACATGTGCAGATCTGTATCTTTAGGGAGCCAAATGCTGAAAACATTGTAAGCTTATGCTACATGTAGCTTAGTCAGTTCCTAGTACGATAATAGTGCCTTTAATAATTATTAAAAGCAATATTTTGAATGCTTATCATTAGCCAATATCACGCAATCTGAAATAGTAAATGCTGCTACTTACAGTGTGACTGTTGCTAGCCAAGCTATATTGCAAGTGGTGCTATAAGATGCTGGGCCCTGAACTTACACAAGCATGCTTGTACTGTTACTGGCATTAAGTACAAAAGCTAATTGTCAAAACACTGGATAGTTCATGAGTAAAATAACTTGATTAGCCAAACAGGATAGTACTCAATCTATGTGAAATGTTGTGCTAAGGTACCAGTACACCCACCCCTATATGTTTGATATTTAGAGCAGCAACACAAAATAACTAATACAAACTCATGCCAACCATGCTTATTGTTGGTTAATATCAAGCAATGGTGTTGATTGCCTGATTATTACATGTAGCAGCGCCATGGCTGGTTATGGTTTAATTCTCACTAGTGATCAATCAATTTATCTTAAAAATTAATGAAGAAAAACATCTTTCAATAAGAGACATAACAGCAAGCTTCTGGATACAACTCTTTTCCCTTTCAAATACATCAAGAAGAAGTTCCCAGGGATACATGTGCATGTAATAAGACATGCAAATTATGACTGTAATTAATTAAAAATACAATGTACTAGCTCATACATTTGGATTTCTGTTCCCATCTGAGAGGCATTTAGTTGATCTGAATGAAGAACTACTCTCATCATCGTTGTCATCATCAAGTAAACAAACTTCACTGCAAGAAAAAAAAACAGGATACACATACAAATAATTGAAAGGCTCTGTGCAAGAATGTCACCATTATCTGAGAATTTTAGAAAAGTGCTGCAAATGCTACACAAAATATGCAGTTTGGTTTTGCACTTAATACAGAAACATTTATTCAAACACTTCTGCCTTTGGTTTGTCTTTAATTTCTCAAAAATCATGCATGCAAAGCACATCCACTTTATAATTGGCAACAGCAAATCCTCTCCACACTCCCCAAGGGCAACAACAGCCGCCCCTTCCCCTGAATAGCCTCCTCCACAGGCAACTCCTATTATGGTTACACTGACCATGAGGAGTCTGAGAATGAAAAAAGGATAAAAACCTGCCACTCCCAGTTCTGTCTCCATTCTCCCACTCGTTCTCTAAAACATGACAATAGAGCCTGCGGAGGAGGTTACCCCCTGAAAATGTTGTTCTTGGTTGATTGTGGTGAAATGTTATACTGTAATATTGGATAGGGTACTTTTAGAATAAACAATTGATGTAATGTAAATCATCAAACAAGGTCATAAGCTCAAGTAAGGCTTCACTTCAGGAAGCCACATGTACTCAGCAACATTGAGACCAGTGGGAGGGGAGGGGAGGGGATACTGTTGCAAGCCATTGATTAGCTTAGTACAAAGAAAGGGATGTGCGACTTGATGACAATGACAGAGATCTAGGAATGACTAACTTTGCTTCCAGTGAGATAATGCATAGCACAAGTCATGCGGAAAGAAAATTTAGAGGGCAGGTCACCAAAAATAAAGTAGAAATAAAATCATAACCCATTGTGTGTTTGCTAAACTGAAAACAATTATTTATAGAGGTACATTTCACTTTCCATAATACATACAGATTTCTATCCCACCATCAATTTTGTAACTTGGCAAGTTTCAAGACACTTGTTGCTTTTTTTGACCAACAAAAAATATTAATGCAAATCAATCATCATTATCACCTTTGACCAAGAGGCTTACAGGCAAAACAACACTCTATTAATACTGATTAAAATTATATAACTCTACAAAAAGCCCTACAGTACACTGTATGTGATTTATGATAAAATTAGACAATAAAAACAAAAGAGCAGTTAGATTTTTTGAAAAAAAGTAATAATAATAATAACAGTTTATTGATGACTTAGCTCTACATTCATCAAGCCTACATGTGTATACTAACTAATCAAATTTTCATTACTTATAAGTAAAGTCTTGATCGCGCCATACTATGAGCAGCGTCATATACATTATACAAACTGGCGAGTAAAAATTTGCATCTGGCGACTATATTTCTCCAGTTGGTCGCCATCAGGCGAACTGATGATTTTTTTAATTTTGAGCCCTGTGGTGGATGTCATCTGATTTCAACCATGGTGCGGGAGGATGTGTAACTTTGACCTTCTTTAATTACCAGGGCATTTTGTCTGTCTGGACAAGTGGTGAACAATGACTTAACTAAGTCCAGCTTGTTATCAATGTTGTCTGTGCTGCAGATGAGATTGAAGGGTAGTTCTGAAAAATCCTGGAAAAACTTTTGTTCATCAAATTCCCTTTCATTTCTGATCATCTTGTAGCATGGTTGAAAACTCTTAACACAGATGTTGATACAAACGTATGGAATTTGTGGTCACTGACACTCGAGCAAGGCAGAACATTAGTCTAAGTAATCTGATTTGAAAAATTTGATATAACATGATCTATTAGTAAGTGTATTTGTCTTTGACACATGTAGGCTGCTTGACATGCCGATGGAGATTGAAGTAACTTAACATGTTCTTGTACTGTACAGTTCTTGTTGAATGATAGTCAAGCAAATCGATGTTGAAGTCTTCCATAATAAGATGAGCACCATCCCAATTAGCAATTATATAAGCAAGGAGATTTTCAAATTTTTCCATCCATTTTATAGTCCAACATCCGTTCTGAGCAGTATATCAAGGCGGCTGCCTAATAAGTGCCTGGTCGCCAGAGGTGCCTAAGATTTGCCCCTGGGCGACCAAAATTTTAAACAAGGAGTCTGACCAGGTGCCTAAAACTTATAATTCTCAGGCCAACTTCTGGCGAACAAACAACAAAATTTCATGCTCATTCTGCACTTTTGAAAATGAAAAATGTTTGGTCGTCAGCTGTAGGCCAAAAAACATTTCAGCCAATAATTCTTCTAATCTGAAAAATGAGCATAGTAACAGTGTAGAGCAAAACAGGAACAAAAACAGGAACATTTTTTACAGTATACTGTGCATTTTGTTAATCCAAATATGTAAATGTTAACTTTTAACGTCATCCTGGGGTACCAGGGCCTCCTCTTCCGAGACTTCCTCTTATTTATTTATTTTTTTAGGTTTTTTTTTTTTCAATCCGACTGACCGACCCAACATCAGGAAATGCATTTGACGCTAAACGAAAAAAAAAAAGGGGGATGGCCTAACCCCTACCCCATATTTCTATTCTTCCCAATCTTCCTCTGATTTAAAATATAAAAAAAGGCGGGCTCGGAATTACGAACATAAACAACGGAAGCATCTTTCGCTCGCCCAAAAATACGCCTGCATTACAGGCTACATATTTGTTAAGTGTAAGTTATAAACTAATGTGTTTTCAAATTGTCAGTTATTTCAATACAAAGACAAAGCAAAACAGAAAATGAAATTTAAATCGGGCACAAGGATAACACGTCATTGTAGATGTAAAAACAAGTAATATGATGGCCTTAATATGCTTCAACAATCTTAACTTCGACGGAAGATTTTAAATTTTTCTGTTTGATGCTGATACATACTCGTTCTCTGGTGAATCAGCTTGAAAATTGTTTGTTTTCCATCCCTTGTATGGATCTTTCTCAGCTCTGTCTAGGCCTAGAAGAAAGAAAGTGACCGATAAAAGCTCCGGAAACATGACAACATGAAAAACCTTGTATTATTCTCCAAGCTCTTTGCTTCAAAACTGACCTCAGAAGAAAACTAACGTACCTGATAAGAGGCCTCTGCTCATTTTTAATTCAAACTTACAGCATAACAAGAAGAGAGGTCCGAAACGATCTCAAATACACGGCAAAAGGAGGAAAAACAGTCGTCCCGTTCAAAGACCCGCCATTTTGAAATCGTTTTCAAGGGCGCGAAGCCTCGTCATGATGTAGTCTCCCGCGCGCAAAAGCTCAGCGGTGACATAATGGGTGTAATGCGCATATTGAATTAACCGACTGCGTGGACCATGTAAACACATATGTTTCGTCTCTTGTCTTCTTCTCTCGACAATAATAGAATGTGCTGTTTATCATGTGTTGAAATGTTAACAGAATGTAATATATGGCCATAACTTCGTCGATCTACCGTTTGCTGTGCAGTCAAACGTTCCTCGTAAGTCAGATTTAGAGTCTCTTTCCTGAATTTTGCGAGAGTATTTTGCCTTTTTGGGACTATCTTTATGTATCCTGTGAATCTCCTCTAATAACTTCGTCTTATGATTTAAATTTTCCCCACATAAGTCAACGATTCTTATCTGTAGGTTCGCACAAGCACAATATCCTTTCCGCAACTGCTAGGCAAATTGATATGCAGGAATCGAAGCTGGAAAACTCATCACTTGTAAAAAAGCTTAAATAATTTTTATACGTTCATTGTAAACGCGAAGAACGATCGTCAACCGCTGTCTTTTCTTTCGATATAATTCATGAACTAGTTACACGTCGATATCTTTTGCGGTGTGCTCAGAAATTGTTTTTCTATGATAAACCACATCTTTATAACAATTAAGCCTCTGAAAATAATTATCAAAAATATACGTAGATGCAGTATCACTGTATGTGACGATAAATTGTTGGTTTTTGTTTATTTTTGGCAAAAGATGACGGTAGTGTGTGCGTTATTTCTTTTCTTTATATGATAAAACAAAATTTATTCTAGGGATAGTACTTTTTTGTATGTAGTTTATGAATAGGTTAACCTGTTTTTATTTACAAGAGAACAGAAGAGTCAGAACTGTTGAAATTCAAAATAGTTTGCTATACATAAAAAGCCTCACTCAAGGAGTTTTGCTGGCAGTGTTGCATAAACCACCAGGGCTCAGTATCGTAGTCCGCGGCAAGTAGTTTTTCTTGCTTTCTTAATTAGATGGCTCATGCAGTTGCTGAATGGGCAAGGGTGTAAGCAATTCATCCTTTAGAGCGGTTTTCACTTGACTGTCGTAAAACCAAAACTAAAGTAAATACACTAGCCAACCAAAGGGCGTAGTAAAACCAAAACCAAACCAATTCCTCAATTACTTTCGACAGTCAAGTGAAAACCGCTCTAACAAAATCATTAACGACATGTAGCAAAAAATGGCTGCAGGGGAGGCAAAATATGAGAACCATGCACTGTAATGCCTCTCTTGCAACATGAATTTATGTATGATAAAATAGGACTTAATTGTGGTGACGTTTGTGTTGTATTTATACTTTTCAGTTGATGATTAACCAGTACATGCAACAATAGATTTTGTATGGAGCCATTTCCTCAGAGCAAGGCTGAGGGGACAAAGAAAGTTATTGTTGCTACCAAGAACACCAGCAACAATGTCCTTAGAGCACGATCAGCCAAAGGTGCCGCTTCCCCACAACATCACAAAAATCGTCCTGCAAAGACTTTCCCTGGCAGTCCCCCAGCAAATGGCAGCCTGATAAATCTGTCCTGGCATAACGTAAGAAACGGCAGCCCAGACAAAACCCCTCTGGGGCATTACCAATCAGGAACAAGTTTTGAAACTTCAAGCAATGGTGTGCGACTGAATTCCAGTAATTTTCTGTCAGAATCCAAGTTTAATGCAACACTGTTTTCATCAGCTGCTGGTCATAGCAGTCGTGGGTTAGATGATGAGGAAGCCATGGACATTGACCACCAAGATATTGATATAAATGATGAAGCTGCCTGTGCTGTGGCCACATGTGACAGTGCTTCTAAGCTAACAGAAGGAATTTCATCTGCTCATGAGCGGCCTAGAGCACCAAAACACAAGATTATTACTGATGATTATACAGCTGATGAAGAAAAAAATAGAAAAGCCTCCAGCACTAAACCAATGGTAACAAACTCTTTTCTAGCCTGCCCAACAGATAGAACAAAATGTCTGGTTAAGTCGTACAAAACAGAGTCAAAATCCTTGTTCTGTGCTCCAACCTGTGTTCCAGCATTTCCGTATGTGCCGTGATTGGCCTGTTAAAAAAAAAGCCATTGTCAATTTGCCAATCAGGTTGAGAGGAAATTCAAAATGTATTTCTGGTAATTCATTGAGTCTGTTGTGGGCCCAGAACAAGGATATCACCACTGCTTCATAGACATTACTAACCGTGTTTTGATTATGTCTGGTAGACAGGTTAACCTCTTTCAAATTTATGTTTACTACCTAGTTGGTAACCCTTAAAGTCCATTTCTGAACGAATTCGCATATCACACGTTCTTCTTATTCATTTGGAATTGATACATTGTACACAATGATACACAGTGGCACCGGAGTTCCTTTGTAAACTATACCCAATCCCAGACCAAAATGGGCAAAATTTAGACCCATTTTCATACCAAAATGGTGCAAACACCCTACCCTTTGGGCGACCCATACCTACATGTATATGGCTTATGTAAGGGAGTCCCCCCGGACATGTACATGTAGCACACCGATGACTGGCTACTGAAATTACTGAATGCATTCAGTATTTTGTATCTGGCCTTAAGAATTATTGCTTTTCTGACCTATGGATATTAGGGACATTGTGGACACAACATGACTGCATAGTGTTTCAGTTTCTGTAGAAACTGTAAACACCATAATATTGTCACTGAATGTGTAACAGCGTTACTGTATTCATGAATTGTACAGGAAACCAAAGAGGAGTCAAGTGTGCCAATTGTAAACCAGGAAAAGGAAACAGTAACAATTGCACCTGATCAGAAGGTTACATCTACAGATAGCTTACCACAGAAGAGGAGAGCAATTTACATAGTACTGCATGTTAGCACTATTAAGATTGGACAGCTGGTTGGTAAAGCATCTGCACCTGTTAAGGTAAAACATTGCAATACTGGTCTTGAAAGGGTTACACAAGTATAACCCCAGTATAGTATTAGAGAACTCACGCAACCATAAACTAATAAATTTATTAGTTGACTCATAAGTCTTTGTTTTGAGTTTATCACTTGCAAAAAATGTTAAATGAGGCAGTTTCATGTCATAGGCGTGCAATGATGGCAAGAAATTTACGAAAAAGCATGATGCACATGCAAAGTTGTTCTTCTGCTAATTAAATCTATTGTTTGTTTGTTTGTTTGTTTGTTTATTTTCTTGCTGTTCTTGGTGCTTTTACCATTGTAGGTGCTTAATTTAAACACTGCAGGCCACAGAATTTAAAATAGGGCATTATTTTTTGTGACAGAGAAAATCATATAACTTTTCACAGAACAATTTGTGTTTATTGTCCCCCCTGGCATTTTTGTCCTTAGAAAGTAAATATTGACTTTCATAAAATTTTTGTAGATTTATGCAGAAAAAGTTTTTATAGAAATGGAGACAGCTGAAGGTATAGTAAAGTTATTATTATTTCATTCATTCTTCTTATTTTACTTATCCTTTCAAATAATTTATTCACCACGAGAAATTTTTTTTAGACAGTGACACAAGTGGCTCAGAAGAAAAAAATCCGAGTACATGTAGTCCCAATAGGGGTACAGTTTCACCAGTTTCCACGGTTCACTAAGGTGTTCAACTAATGTCGATTCACCCATGATGCATTCAAGTGCAGTGATTTTGTTACAGGATTTTGGTAACAGGTCAAATTGAACATTATTTACTATGCATGATACTGAAGTATATTAATACAAAGGTGTGTGTTTATTTTTTAGGAAATGGATGCAAAAGGGCTTCTTATCATTTCAGAATTCCTTGCAAAGATTTAACAGAGTGCAGGGTACATGAATTATTTTTGAACCTGTTTTAGCTACAACTAAAAACAGAGATATCGGTTACAAATATTTTTGATAGTTTTCAATTTTTAATTATACATTTGTTTTTAGTATTATTCTTATTTTTCTCATAACTGTTGTATGCATAACCCCACCAGCACTGCTGATCTTCTTATCTTGTTAAATAAAGTTCTTATCTTATCTTATTGAAAATCATCGGGAGAATCTAATGTTAGATTTTGTAGAGTTTCGGGGTTAAATCTTTGTTTGAATCATTCATGCCACAAGCCTTTTTATACATATTTTAAGACAGTAATTTTTTAAATTGACTTAGGTAAATTTTGGTGGGTCACCTTTGCTTTTGGCCGTTAAACCATCTGCTGCTGGGGCCAGTGCTATTCAAGAAAAATGCAAAGAAAGGGGCACGTTTCTGGATCCTCATAGTCAAGGTACACAATAACCTTTACATAATATGTATGCATGTACAGTGTATATAGCTGTACCCCTAGGTAGAGCCTTTCCTGTGTGGGATTAGAGTGATTGTACTCAAATGTCCAGGTAGAGTAGGGTTTCCTATGTGTAGTCTAGAACGGCTTTGAACAAGAAAATGATATGTGGTTTATTAGGAGGTTAGGATGATGTGGTGACGATGTTATAGAGACCCCACCTAGCGCCAGTTGTTCAAAAGGTAGATAGCACAGTATCCAATGGATAAATCACAATCCACTGGATAGGGCAATTGGTTTCCCCAATACTTATCTGCTGGATACTGATTTATCCAGTGGATAGTGCTATTCATCTTTTGAACAACCAGATGGGGCTGTTAATGACATGAAACTCTTGATTTTGTTCACAGACGTCAAGAAAAGGTACATTGTTCTTGTTATGAATTACCACGTTGTGCCAAGGGACATTAAGGCTGATTTAACTGAACTGGTGAGTATTCTCTTGTTTTAGTTGTAGTTCACGTTTTCAGTGTCAATAATAATTAGATGTGGCCAATGTAATTTACCAGTAGGCCAGGTTAAACATGAAACAATGCTGGCAAGGGATCTCCTAGCCTGCCAAAAAATCCGTTTCTCCTCACTCTTCACCGCTGGGGACGTTTCGCGTGGAGGAATGTCTGCGACTCAGCTGCAAAAATTCTATAGTGATGACATAAAATCTGTCCGAGATCCAGTCAGAAGCGCTGATTGGTTGATGGAGTAGTTACATTGTTTTAGCTATTGTTTATGAATGACAGACAAAAGACAAAAGGCCACAAAGGTCAAATGTAAACGCGAAGAATCTCTAACAAAACAGTCATCTTTGTGGCATATACTCTTCTCTAGAAGAAGCAGTTGAGTTTTGCTGGAGCTCGTTGGCAGATGAACACCACACTTTACCAAAATCAACCAGAAGACACGTAAAATTGGACAAATGTATATTTGGAACCCCATGACTACCGGATTTATTATGTAAACATTGATTTGCATCATCAGTATGGAATTTTTGCCACTGAGTTGCAGACATTCCTCCACGCGAAACGTCCCCAGTGGCGAAGAGCGAGGAGAAACGGATGTTTTCAGAAGGCTAGGAGTCTCCATCATTAATCATATCAGGGGAGATCTTTGGGTATTGAAGGGCTCCGGTAATTTTACAGTCCTTTTCCTGAGGTCGGTCATTTCACTTAAGTTGCCTTCGTGTACAGTCGTTTTTAGCTGATTTTGCCCCCACCCCTCCCTCCCTCTGGATATGTCTTGGTAGGTGTCTGCAAAAGACTCTCCACTGAGGTTCTCAGGGTGGTTACCTCCTCTGTGCTCTTGCAGCTCCCCCCAGTTTGTCCAGTCACCTCCAACAACAATTTATTCAGTAATAAAAAATCAAGTCTAACAATATTGGATGCCCCGTTAATAGCTATTAAGCTAATCTGGGTGGGGCGTGACAAGACACAGGCGATACTGAATACTTATTACAAAGAGAAAAGAAATACAAATAAAGGTAGAAAGAAACACTGGAAGTTTTCACAACAGTTATACCTGATTAGTTTAAATGTGAAGTACCGGTATTGAAATGTATTATGCCTTTTATGATACATGTCATGATGTACTTTTCTTTTTTTAGTTTCAGAATCGTTTTGCTGATCAATTGACTTGGAGTGAGCTTGGGTAAAATTCGCCTTATTTCTTGCGAACACCTTTTTCTCATTGCTGTTACATCTTATTACAACTTCTGCACCACGCCTACTTATAATTCAAGAAGATACCTTTTTTAACTCCAAAAGCCAAATGCGGATCTAATTATTCCTAAGATGTGACCATTCAAACAAACTCTTTTGGTACAATGTTTTAGCATCTACAGTGATTTAGCTAAGTAAAAGCTAAGCAGACTTATTTTAGTCAACCGGCTTTTTGCTTAACTTCACCCTTTTTGGCCAGTCACCAAAGACGTAGTCAATATAAACAACCATACTTTAACTGCGGTGCTAATATTATTAAATCGTTATTTATTTTGAACATAAGCTCACAAGAAGCTCAGGACATTCTAGACAAGAAGGATGAGCCTTCTTCTTCAGTTGAAGCATCAAGTGCACAGTCACCAAAGCGGGCCAGTCCAATCAGCAAAGAGCAACGAAAAATATTAACTCCTAAAGGTACAGTGACTAACCCTTTTAAAACTCGCGATCGTTATACGTTTTGGGAACTGCCCACCTACCCCTCCCCTAAACCATCATTTTGCTCTAAGTGAGAAGTAAGTGTTAATGTTGGCTTAGGGGAGGGGTAGATGGACAGCAAAACTCCTAACCTGTTGGTGTAGTCATTTTACTGTTAAACGGAGTCAACACGGAGTTTGAAACACGGTAAACAAGTCACAGATTGACTACGAGGGATTGATAAAGTCTAATTGTGAATTTTTGCAGGCAAAGGTGCTCGTAAAAAGCTCTTTGACGAGGGATCAAAGTCTGCTCCGGTAAGGAATTTCATTTTTTTTTTTAATTTAAGACTAAAATCTTCCTTTTGTGCAATCTCACGTTCTGTAGCCAAGCGTGATACCCACCCATCTTTGTACCCGAAGAGAAGTTACTTTACAAAGGGAAAATTGGCCACGCGCGAGAATATCCTCTTCATTCAACCTTACATGTAACTTGAATTTATGGCATTCACCTTTTGCACACCGTATTTCTTGTAGCCTGCAAAAACGTTCTCTGAGGAACTCTGGCGGATTCCTGGGGCGGAGGAGAGAACCACTTAAGGTGCTTGCTCACAGTCTATATTTCGGACAGCCCTGATTTGTGCGACGTTTGAGTGTTTGGTTTGATGCGCATCAAACTTGGTTCATCATCAGCTGTGCTAATAACTAGGTTAATTGGCCACCGCTAAGACAGGCATACCGGAGATTAAGCTTCAAACGATAGAGTGACTGTTGCCTCCCGTCAGTATTCCGAGTAGATGTAAAGAGCAGCGTCCCCACCTGAATATATTCAGCTAGATTCACACGGCACGGTTGAAAATTCGTGCAGACGAAAAATTAGACACCTATCGTTCAACTCCTTGTGAACAGAGCCAAAATATTAAACGGTCACGTGTGAACGAACTGTCCGGTTGAATTTTTAACCAGTCGAAAATTCGTCTTGTGCCGTGTGAACGCAGCCTTGACATTCGTGACAGCGCACCAAAGAAAAAGTGTCTGCATGACTTGCCCAATCTCCTCCCTCCCTCCCCCACTCCACACCACTACCACGACACGCACACACAGACATCATAAAAACGATAGGTATTTCATTTATTTATTGGCCTCAATAACATAGTAAGAAGTCTGGATAGCTAACAGAGCAAGTTTCATGTGCACCCAATATCGTTCAGTCTTATCTCATATGGAGGCCTGTATGGGCGAGCGGTTAACACATCCGATGCCGGATCTGAAGGTCCGGGGTTCAAGCGTCTCCAGTCGCGTTGCTTCCTAAGACTAGGAACTCTACTCCACTTTGCCGCTTTTCACCCAGGTGTAAAAAATATGGGTACCGGGGACATACTGCTGGGGGGTAACACTGCGATGGACTAGCATCCCGTCCAGGGGGAGTAGCAATACTCCTAGGCATGCTGCATGCTAAGGAAACCGGGATAAGGTCCTGTCCTTTGGGCCTTTGGCTCTTGTGCGCCTTTACCTTTACATCACATGTATCGATCTCCTATTCCCGATCAATGTGAGTCATTTCATATATTTTCATCCCCTTCTCCATCAAAGTAAATCCCCATTGACATCATCTGTCATGTTCACTAAAGCCTGGTTTTCACTAGGGCATAAGTATAAGCATAAGCACAAGCGCAAGAAAAACGGGTAAGTTCGTTCCTCTTGTGCTTTTGCTTATGCTTATGTCGTAGGTTTGACTACTGAAAACTGGGTCGACATAAGCACAATCATAAGCATAAGGCCGTGGACCAATCATAGGTCACTTTGACCCAGACCTCATGCAAACAAATCAAAAACAATATGGCAGACTTTTCGTCCGCCATCTTCTTTATCATCGGGTTGAGGAGAGCTGGTATCGAGAATTGAGTCAAATATGCCATTCTGTGTGTGCTTATGTCCTTATGCTTATGCTTATGCTTATGCGCCAGTGAAAACCAGGCTTAACTAAGAAAGTTTATGTTTGTTTTACAGACCAAACTATCGGCGGCTTCCCCCGGTGGCATGGTTGAGTGTGATCTTGGGTCCGCAGAAGGCAAAAATATGAACAAATCTAACGCTTTGGATAGCGTCATACAAACGCGGAGCAGGCGACGCAAAGCTTCCGCTTTCACGGAAAGTGAAAACCCGCCGCTAACAGGCTCTGAAACAGTCAAACCAGATATCTTACTTCATCACAAGAAGATGGAATCACATATAAGTTTACTCGATCAGCATAGCAAAGAACAGAGAGAGAGCTTACAGCAACACCAGAAATTACTGGAATTTGAAAGAGGAAAATTGCGAGAGGTGGAAGAGGAAAAAGAGCGCAATCTCGGGCGAATGAGAGATTTAGAGATCAGTTATTCGGCTGATAAGGAACGGCTATTAGAAAGGGTCAGAATTTTAGAAACAGCGTTGCATGAGAAGGATCAAATTTTAACCCAGCAAGCTGTTAATGGAGATTTGATAAGTAACGAGTTGGAACAAGAAAGGATTTCAGTGAGGCAGCTTCAGAAAGAACTTGAACAGGAGCGCGAAGCAAGCTCGCGTATGCGGAAGGCTCAGAGCGATTTGGTGCGAGTGAGCCGAGCGCTGGATGAAGAGACAGTCTTGAGAGACATGCGAGAGCAGCAGCTGAGAGAAAAGGAAACTAACTTTCACGGATTGCAGAAAACCTTAGCTGACGAACAACAAGCAAGACTTAGACTTGAAGAGGAACTACGTCAGGCAAGGGAGACCCTCGCTGAGTTAGAAAGAAGGTTAGAAAACGAACGTCTGTTAAGGGAGACAAGTCGACAAGATATTCAAACAAAAGAGGAGACAATTAGAGAGCAATTGCAACTTTTACAGCAAGAACGCGAGCTCAAGTCAGGTTTAGAGGAGCGGGTAAGAAATATGCAAATTCATGTTGACGAGGAAAGAAACAGGAGAATTACGACTGAACGAGAACTGACTGAGGAAAGAATCACTTTACAGCAGGATCGAGAAAATCTGGAAAGAGAGCGAGAAATTTACCAGCAAAGAATCCGCGACAGCGAACGAACGGTGTCGGAAAGCGAGGACCGAGTACGGGAGTTGCAGTCAGCGGTCGCTGCAGCCCAGGAGGCCTTGGCCGAGTATAGGCGTCTTGAACCACGTGACTGGATCATCAGACGTGATGAGGTTATGCTGAGTGAAAAGAATTTGGGAGTTGGAGCCTGGGGCAAGGTGTACGAAGGAACGTTTCGTGGTTGCCAGGTAGCTGTTAAGCAGATTCACGATCTGATTCTTTCGCCTCATAACCGCAGATTGTTCGAACGAGAAATGAGTATTGCTTCGCGCTGTCGGCATCCTCATTTACTACAGTTTATTGGCGCTACTAACGACGATGGCAGCCCGTTATTCATAACTGAGCTGCTCGACACTGATTTACGAAACGTTTTAACTCAGCGCGCGTTGCACCACGAGGAAGTGGTTTGCATCGCTTTAGATGTCGCCAAGGGACTCAACTATCTTCATCTTAACAAGCCATTCCCCATCATTCATCGCGACATCAGTAGTTCAAACGTGTTACTATGGAGACGCGATGATTGCTGGAGAGCCAAGCTGTCAGATTACGGAGCAGCAAATTTCATGCGTCAGTACATGACGTCTAATCCGGGAGCCAGGATATATGCCGCGCCTGAATCGCAGACTTCTCAGCAGTCACCAAAGGTGAGTTCAAACTACTACTTGTTACGCGATCTTCTGTAACTTAACCCGGAAAATTATCAGTTCTTAAGCCATTTTTAGGGACTGGGTACCCTGTTCAGAGAGTGTTAACACCTAAAAAAAAAACACTGAAACCATACCTGACTTAACACAGGGTCCCCAGTAGGTTTTTCGGGATCCAGGATTTCCCATTTTTGAAGCTTGGGATTCGGGATTTGAAAGCAAAATTTGGACGAGATTCGGATTTGAAAGCACGCGCGGGAGGTGGGATTGAAGAACCCTATTTGGAACCCTCTTAACTTCTTAGGGTGTGTTTGGAATGTTGACCACAATAATAGGAGCTTCTAAATTGCAAGGGCTGCTAGAGGGATTGGTTGGTCTGTTGCTTTCTAGTCACTGCCTATACAAATATATAGATTTAGCCAGGGCTAAAAGCGAAGCTCTCGATAATATTTATAGTTTGTTCAAACAAAATATAAAATCGTGTAATGCTAAGCGGCGAAAGGAACGCCGGAGAACGGTGAAAAACAGGGCGGATAAAGGTTGGGCGATGAAACGAGCGCTCCGCTCTTCATTTAATGTGTGATGCGGAGTAGGACTGGCACGAGCGCTCTTTCCGCGCTTCCGGTGCGCTTGAAGGCCGGCAAAATTTTCCTTTTTGGAAACCGGAAATCCTATTTTCTTTCTGTAGTTTCAGGCTACAATGTTAAGTAGATAAATTCGTTTCATAACAATATCAATAAACAGTTTCATATGTTTGTGTCTGTACGTCTATAAGTCAAACTTGTTGGTCGTATAATGCCAAAATTTGAGTTTAATTTGAAAGTGTTGAATACCTCAGCCTTCCACTAAATATCACCTAATCCTCTTTCGCCGTTTCGTTTGCAAAAGCTTAACACTTCTTAACCTCAATTTTTACATATGTTAAAGGGGGATAAATTTTATATAACATAACAAAAAATTAGATTGATATATATTGATATAGTGGCGTTGTACTTCTTCAAACTTTGCTTCTCGGGTACAACGCGCCATGGCGATTCGCGCAATGCGTTGCAAATCCAGCAACCGCATGTAAACAAAATTTATTGAGGTTAGTTGTAAGGTTTTTACTCCGTTTTTCTCTCTAAAACAAAACAAGGGAAACAGTAAAAACTTAGGGGAAACTAATTTTGAAGTTTCGAAGGAACAGAAAGACGTATGACATGTTTTTTTCAAAATTAAAAAGAAGGATGATGGTGATTGAAATTAGCATAATTTCACCTTGCACGAGCTGCACGCATTTATAAAATACACGTCATCTAGTTATGAAACAAGATCTGCTGTCTTTTAGTTTTGCCATGGATGACATGGATGAGATTTTCCTTAATGTTTTAAACAGTACTTAGTTGTTTTTGTTTTGGAATAACATCGACATTGGCGAGTAGCAGAACGAAAATATAATTCAGTGGTAGAGTCATGGAAGTAATAAAAGAAACCCTTTGAAAGAGATGTTTGTCTACTCCAACTAAACCTCCCGCAAAAAATAGCAACATTTGCCTCTCGGAGACAGCGTACCAGCACAAAGGAACGAGGAAGAAGTNGTCTACTCCAACTAAACCTCCCGCAAAAAATAGCAACATTTGCCTCTCGGAGACAGCGTACCAGCACAAAGGAACGAGGAAGAAGTGCAAGAAAACAAATCAAGCCGCCATAATTCAGTGACAGCGGCAGTGTCTAATGTACAAACCACATCGCAAGTCCTGACCGAGGTCGAAAACAAGTGACATTTCTAAGCAGAGTCCCAGTCCACTGCATCACACCTTTTTGCTCGGACGCGCTCGTTTCACCGCCCAACCTTAATCCGCCCTGGTGAAAAACAGCAATAGGTCTAATCAGCAAAAAAGCAACTTTGCACGTGCAGCACACTTTTTTGTACATTTCTTTGCCGTTGTTTTGTACGACTACAACGTGAAACTTCAAGAAACTTCGTCACATGTTTGGAGGAAATGTCGTACGTGTTCTCGTTCACTTGTTTTTCACTGCCGCTCATTTTCACCTTGCATTGGTGGCCGCTAGCATTTCTCATTTTGTTACCCCCGCTACAAAATTTTCATGTTGTTCTTTCAACAAAAAAATGTATCCTTTTTTTCATCTCTCGCTCTAGATCTATGTCGCCTTTTTTCTCGTTGAGCTTCGCTGGCCAGCCGCCTACTTTCCCTTTTTCTCTGTCTTTCTCTTGCTCTGTATTCCAAATTTGTGGTCATGACAATTCATCAAAGCTTAATACTGTAGACAACACGGATACAGAAACAATTTCCGCTTTTTTTTGTTTTTTTCGTTTTTGTCTTTATTGACTCTTTAGTTGTCTCTGCTTTACAAGACACGGGTGGCTATGCGATTTCCCGCCAAAATAACCTCGAGTTGCATTTGGGTTGCCATACTTGTTGATTGAGTTATTTTACGGTATACCGTGGTGCGGACGGACAGTCGTTCGGTGTACGGTCACGTGATTACCAAATTTTCTGGGATGGGTAGATTTACTTACTCATGGTGCTCCGCTCGCGCGCGCGAGAGCTCCACTATAATCCATACAGTTACCGTATTTACTCGATTAAAGCTCACAGGTGGAAGCAAACTTGCCAATAGACGCCGCTTGTTACCCCCGCTACAAAATTTTCATGTTGTTCTTCCAACAAAAAATGACAACATGAAAATTTTGTAGCGGGGGTAACAAGCGGCGTCTATTGGTAAGTTTGCTTCCACCTGTGAGCTTTAATCGAGTATAGCAAACTTACCAATAGACGCCTCTTCTTCTACTAATTATTCAAAAATGATTGTCACAAAAGTGATTGCTTGAACATAATCACCAATATAAATCACAAAAAAACACTGAATAAATTCAGACTTGGTAACCATCGCTTACAACTTGAAACAGGCAGACATACAGTACCGAAAACTCCAGAAAATCTTCGAATTAGCCCTTTTTGCCCCTTAAATGAAGTTGAACGCGAATTTCACTTTCTATTCAATTGTAATCTTTACGATAGTCTTCGATCTAACTTTTACGGAAACATTAGTAATAGATACCCCCTTTTTAATAATTTTGACAAAAGTGAAAAAACCCTCTCATATTTAACAATGTCGATCCTCATACCTACAGACTTACATACATACATTCATGTATAGAATATAGACCAAACTTGTTCATTATTTATAGCTTTTATTTTGATTTAACATTGCTGGTTTGCACGTGACGTCACGGCGGCCATGTTGGTGGTCAAGAACAAAAGCATTTCTCTCCTCGGGGAACTAAACTCTATTTTCATGTAAATTCTTCGAGGAAATATTCTTTTGTTTTGACCCCCAACATGGCCGCCTTGTCACGTGGTTGCAAACCAAGAATTTATAACATAAATAATGTAGGTAATACCATGTACTCACGTGGTAATACTGAAATAAAGTTTCTTTTGTTGTTGAATTAGAAGAATGCGACGTTTATTGGAAGATTATAAGAAAAAACTCAGTATAACTCTGTAATCTACACCATCTAGACAAAAAAAATTTATCTCAGCAAAAAAAACAAGCGAGACATTAGAACTTTTAATTTGAAATACAGCTGCCCTCGAATAAACGCTGCATCGGAGATACCAAAAATTTAATATACGCCGCAGTGTTTAATCGAGTAAATACGGTACCCCTCTAAATAGACTGCGAGCATTCTCTTATTTTTCTTTGCAAAGTTACCGCACGAGAAGCCCACGCACGCGAGCCGCGATAAACGAGGGCGTCCCAAGGCCCTATTGTAATATTATTGCAATCGCCCTGGCTGAGATAAGAACTAGACAAATTTTAAGAGAAAAGGCGGACTGCAAGAAGTCTACCTCTCAATGGTTATGGGCCCGTATGAAAAATGTTACAGAGAATGTGCAATTATAGCGGTATTGATAGAGATAAGAACGAATGTTGAAACAGAATTGACTTGTTTAATATAGAACAACAATACACTAGTCTATTAAGAACCCTATGCTTAGCGTTTAAACTTATTTATTATCTACCTTAGCGCGTGTAGAAATACTTGTTATAGGACTTGCTCTGACCAATCAGTACACGCGAATACTGTTACTTGCAAGGCTGTTAATCACAAGGCTTTACCGGGAAAATGAAACGAGTAACCATGCACAAGGTGACTTAAGATGTTCAGTTAAAAACTGTTCTATAAAACAGTGAATGTGGATTGGAGTCATTCCAGAGAAACATTCTTATCCACCTTATTCTAACACTGCTTTTGTATTTTTTCGTTTTTTGTTCGTTGGTTTGTCTGTTCCGTTTATTCGTCTCGATCTATCTATGCTTCGTTTTCTTGCAGGTGGATGTTTACAGTTATGGCTTACTGCTGTGCGAAATGTGTATAAGAGAACTTCCGGTTCCGCAGCAGATCCAAGATCAGATAGGCCTCGTAACTAACGGTGTTCTTCGAGAGCTTATCATGCGATGTGTCGCAAGAGCCCCAGAGGCACGTCCAACTATGAATGACGTCATATTCGTATTGACGCAACAAGCAGAGTCTTTGCGGGCCGAGGGCCTGGTAACATTAAATGGACGAACGGCCACGCTGTAAATTGACAGCGATCAGATGTGTCTTGCTTTTGCATTTTACTGACCTCAAGAAAGATCAGTTTCATAGACGAGAACTATAAGTGGACTTCTTTTCACCGGTTTAAACCATTGCTCACGAAGAGTAGCAGATTCAGTAGAAATGATGTGGAATGTTTGCCTCTTCATTTTTCGTATGTTTATATTTTTATCATTCAAGACATATCTAAATTTCATTTTTAAAACCCGTTTAAACCGGTTATTTAAATGTAGATCATTTTAATCTCTGACTGCACAACAAGAGGTAAATGTGAATTAAGATTTGTTCTTAATTTGAGTGTATCTTGCGTTTGGAACACCCTTTCCATATCCTAAACCCCTTTCCTTTCCCTCTTATAGACATGCCAACTTGCAGAAGTCGTTTTAGCCAACTTCGTACGCGGTACGCGGCCGTCCCATTAGGATTAAAGCCACGTGCAAAAGGACGCAACATAATGGCGGGAGTTGTTGAGTTCGTGTTGGCAGTGTGTGCAAACGGATGCAACAACTCCCGACAACATGCAACGGGGTGTTCAAACGGAAGCAACATGCAACATCCAACAATGTTGGGACTTGATGGCCAACATTGCTGCCTCCGTTTGCACGGGGCTTAACCACTCGGGGTTAAAATAATATTTGTTCCGTCAAAATTCAGAATCCTCAATAGAGACCTTTAGCATCGAGTGTAGCTAAATGTCGTGGGTCGTGGGTGTGGGTGTGGGTAAATGTCGTGGGTAAAAAAAAATATAGAAAAAAATGATAAAGTAAAGTAATTGAAAAAAGAAATAAATACAAAAATAAGTTGTAAAATATTTATGAAACCAAAATCTCCAACTCCTTGGTTGACTTTTTCGTCACGGCTTCTTCTTTGTCCTCTTCCTGATATTTCTTTAGCTAAGTGGGACTTGGCTCCCCTTTCACAACATCACTGTATAAAAGACATGTTGTCAATGAAGATTTATCCATACCTGAGCTATACAATCATTTTCTCAATTTTTTTTTGTTTTGTTTTGTGTACAAAATCTTTGCTGTAACGATTCGAAATATCATTCCTTTAAACTGAAAGGAAATTTCAGTCACGAATAATGTTGACATCTGTGAGAAAAAGCCGTTCAGCCTCCAGTTATTCTATAGCCTGCTTCAGGTTACATACACCCTAAATCAGAAAGATCTGTTTTAGCCCTAGAAATAGAGCCTTTTCGGTGAGTAACATACAGGCCTATTTTTGAGTCTAATCTGGCTCCCTTAAATCAAGGCCAATACAGTCCAATTAGCTAGGGCTGAAATGGACCCTACCTTGGGCAGGAATAACCTTTTGATTGAGCATTTTTGGCCTAAATTGTGCTCGAATGGCTCCAGGAAGGGCTGAATCAGACTTTGGCCTGCAGGGCTGAATTGACACTCTGTTCAATTTTTTATTTTATTTTTTTGTTTTTGGAAGACTTTTTTTTACCCACGACCTCTACCCACGACCCACTACATTTAGCTACACTCGCTAACTTTTCCTTAAAGTACTGCGCCTTCGCGTTTCGTATCTCAGATGTAATCTCATTTCTAACTTCTAGTATCTTGCATAAATTTCTTGATCTCTAGTGCTAGCAGCTCTCTTAAACAGCTTAAACCTCAAGTTCATCTTTCGTCTGATGTCATTACGTGTCATTATTTATCCAACAGGGGCGGATCTAGGGGGAGGGTGCAAGGGGTGCGCACCCTCCCCTGAGATTACCTGCGGTTTTCTAATACAACTGGTATTCTGCAAAAAAAAATATATGTGGTTTATTGGAAGAGACGAGTGCACCTCCTCCTAAAAAAAATCCTGGATCCGCCCCTGTCCAAGGAGAAGATTGACTCCGGATCTTGACACGCTTCGTAGGTGTAAGTCGCAAATATCTTTGAATAACTTGTTCCATGCCCAATCATCCTTATCCTCAAAAACCAGAGCGACGTGAAACGGCGCAGCTGTAATATCAGCCCGAAACTGATCAACCTGAAACTATATAGTTTCTTACATTTATCATCACTTTTGGCGGCGGCCGTTTGTGCTTGAGATTAAGCCGTTGCGATTTTGAAGGAGGTTCGCCGATTATTGTTCTTAATAATAGAAGGACTTCTTGTCCTTCTACTATTAGTCCACAGTAAGGTAATTCAACGTTTACGTAACATTGATTTTAGCGATATATCGCTATGGGTGAGGCAAACGGTAAATCCAGTACTTTTACTATAAGATAACATCGCCTGATAACATCGGTTACACACACTGATTGTGTGGGCTTCCTGTGGTTCATTGCATGACAATACGCATTCATTTGCGTGAACTGGCGACCAACATCGCGAAGATACTGCCTTCTCCACAGGCTTTCCCAAGCTTTCCCAAGGCTAAGTGGGGATTGGGGAACACGCGAGACAAGCTGATCGAGACAAACGAGAAGAGCGAGAGAGGAATGATGGGAACGAGGGTAGTAGAGCGGTTTCCTTAATGATTAACTCAAATCCCCCAGTGATAGCGAGCGACTGGGGACGAGGCAGGCGAAGATCGAAACAAACGAACATTTGCGAATAAATCAGATTCAATAACGATATTTGCATTTTAATCAATTTCAATAACATGTATTTCTGGTCATTCCTATGCATCATTTGGCATAGAAAAGAGAGAAATATACTTTCATTTGCGTGAGCATTCAATTCATTAACACTATCAGTTAATAGTCAATAGGGACAATAGACAAACATTTAAGTGCATAACATCATTATGTCAATGACCATTGTTGCATGTTTGCCTCAGACGAGCAAATTTCACCACCAAGCCTCGTTTTGAAGTTCAAAAGTTGCATGTTTAGGTCATTTCCGAGTTCCCCCGGACCTCTGTTTCAAAACGACGGTAGGTACTCAGCCTTTGATATGTCATTATCATGCAAATAAAACTCATTTTCATAAGAAAGGTTGAGTACCTAGCCTCATTTTGAAAGTAAGGGTTTTTGGAACTCGGAAGTGTCCTGTTCTCAAGGCAGAACAATTGAAAAGAATATTCACGCCCAAAGAGTATCAATTCAAAGAGTTTTGCTTACAATCGAGGCTTGGTGGTCAGATTTGGTTTGCGTCTGACGTTATCATGCGTAAGGGTAGCCTTGTGAACAGGTTCTCTGTTTGGGGATAAAATAGCAAGGAAAGGGAAGGGAAAGGGGTCGGGAGAGAGAGCCTGTAGACAAACATTTGAGGCCGCTATTCCGCCCTCTTGTAATGAATGATTTTCCAGAAATGTGAGACTTAGGGCGCTCTCCATTTAGTCAAAATTTCCGGAATTTCCGGTTCGGCGGTAAATGGAACACGTTTCGTCGGTTCATCCCACTGGAAAATTCCCAGAAAAAGTGGAAAATCTAAAAAGGTGGGCCCGTTTTCCCGGTTGGAATTTCGGAACGGAATGTCGTGTTCCATTTACGTTTCTCGTAGTTTGTACCAGTGCCAGGTCCACCGTCGGGCACCGCGACGTACCGGGGTTTACGACCAAATGGAACAACTTTTTACCGATCGGAAATTCCACTTTTGCTCCCACCGAAACTTCCGGTTTTTTTTCCTAAATGGAAAGCGCCCTTAGTTATGCGCACGGAGTTATGGGATCGCCAGGGGGCAAACATTGCAAGTCGCCACAAAGAAATGTATGGCTTGGAGCTGTTTCTCCGTTAAAAGCAGAGTCTTTGGACAAGGAATGCCGCATTTTGCCGTGATTTTATGAGAAGCGGAGGTGGCTAATGTTGGTGCTTTGAAATTGTCAGTTTTTGTGGGATCAATGCTATGAAATCACAGGGCGCCCACACAATCTGTTTGTGTAGCCGATTGTTATTTTATAGTAAATGTACTGGGTTTACCGTTTGCTTCACCTATAGCGATATATCGCTAACTATGTATATAAATCAATAATAAATAAACGTTGAATTACCTTGCCTGTGGTGTATAGTCGTCCTTTTTGAGGCAAAAGGACGACTATACACCACAGGTAAGGTAATTCAATGTTTATTTATCATTGATTTATATACATAGCTAGCGATATATCGCTATAGGTGAAGCAAACAGTAAATCCAGTACATTTACTATAAAATAACAATCGGCTACACAAACAGATTGTGTGGGCTCCCTGTGATGAAATCTATCGATAAACACTCCTTGCGTAAGATAGACTGTGAAATTTACTGAATGGTCTCGAAATATATAGTACTAACTTAGGTATAAATGGGATAAATAAGCGGGGAATGCGGACTCATTTAAGCCTTTCCAGTTGTACTTACATGTGCTCATATTAACAACGAGTGTAATTACGCTCCGCTCGGCGGCGGTCACAACGCTGTGCCGGTTTGTGACAACGATCGAAGGTAAGCTTATGTATTGTCGAATTTGATATGTATTAACTTTAAAAACAAAAACAATCTCCCCACATTAGTAAATTGATTTCTTCTCGCCAAAAAAAACACAAGCGAAATGTTTTTTGTCATGATCCAGAGCACCAATGAGTTCTAATGCCTTTTCCAATCATTTTTGGGGAAGTTATCGAATCTCTGAATTTCGCACATCAACTTGGTATTTTATATTTACACACTCTGACTGCTTTTGTATCGGAAATCTTACTAGTTCGTACGATTTCTGCCTTATCTACTAATGGTTAAATACCATGTACTTTCCATGAAATATTTCGTAGTTGTCACTTTGTTTATACCAAAGTAAAGGAGGATTTTTTATTTTTATGGCAACCCGCACAGCGCCGCACAGCGCTCATCGCGGCCGAGCGCGCGTAGTTACACTCGTCGTAAATATCACCGCGCGTAATTATAACTTAAACGCTTAAATGAGCCAATCCCCCTACATGTATACCTAAATTTGTACTATATATTTCGAGACCTTTTCTTCATGTAGATCACTTTGTAAATTCAGTGAACATAAATTTCACCCTCAACCTCATGCAGCAAGGAGTGTTTATCGATAGAATTTATCGCATTAATCACACAGAAACTTGAAATTTCAACGCCCCAACATTAGTCACCTCCGTTTCTCATAAAATCAAGGCAAATTGCGGCATTCTCTGTCCAAACACACCGTTTTTAACGGAGAAACAACTCCACGCCATACATTTCTTTGTAGCGACTCGCAATGTCTGCCCCTTGGCGATCCCAGAATCCTGTCAATCAATCAATCAATCAATCAATAATCTTTATTTTATACACGATAAGTATTAAAGCGACGCTTCGCTTGTGGGGTCGTGTCTAAATAA